CCGCTTGCAGAGGGGCAGCAGCGGAGCCAGACCCTGGGATTTACTCACCTCCTGAGTGTCGGCGTAGTAGCTGTTCCAGTCGCTGGTTTCATGCCCTTCCATTTTCACAGTCCCTAACATTATGGAGCCAACCTGCCCGGTGTAACCATCCAGCCCTCTTGCAAGCCAGCGACGGGCAGCAGGAAAAGAGCCCCGAAAGCCTGACCTAGCAGGAAGCCAGCTCTCAGGAGGGGCGGGGGGTGCTGAATTCTCCTCTATAACCAGCCAAAAAGGAGGCAGGGAGCGGTGTGGGGCGAGACAGTTGAGAAAGTGAGGAAGTGCCGGCTGGGATGTGAGTGGAGTTGAGCTGATGTGGATCTTACGTCGCAGAAGTACCCACCTCCTCCTCCTCCTCTCCCCATTTGTCCGCCGCACAAAGGCGTTCGCACCTACAAAGCCGGAGATGCACCTGCAAACAAGGCAGTTCCCCTCGCCTGCAACTCCCCCCGGGGCGGCACTTTATTTGCAAAGCGGCGTAATTGGTTTAAGCTTGTGGGGAAAGAAGGAGAGACAGAGGTGGGCAAAGAGGGGAGAGCAGGAAAAGGGAGGGGGACGGGGACGAAGGGGACGGACCCCCCCCCTTACAGATGGACAGGACAAATGCTAGGAGGGATCGGTGGAAATTAAATGAGGTAGACAAGGGAAGGGCAGCCCCCTCTGTTTGAAGAGAATGCAAAAGGCCATCCAGCCTTAAACCGCTGAGATTAGGGGTAATATTTACTAAAGTCCAGTAGATGCTCCTTTAACTTGGTGGCCGGGACGTGCTCCAAAGTCCCGAGTCCTGCAGTCCACAGGCTCTCCCCCGCTCCCGTCCCTCACTTCAAAGCCGGTTACCGCGCAGGTACCTCGGTGGTGCCCCCCGCCCCTGCCCGGCGCCCCCAGCTCCCAGCGCCCTCGGGGCGGGGGACTGGGCTCGGGGCTCCGGGCTGCGAGCAGGAGGGCTCGGCTCCCCACTCCCCAAACCCCTCCGACCCCCTTCCTCTCCCTCTTCCGTGGGCCCTTCAAACGGGGCTGCCGTCCTATGTAGATGGTGATGGTGATATTTTTTCTCTGGTGCCTTTACGTTTAGAAACCATGTGAGTCACCGCGCTGAGACATAACACTACGGGCACCCAATAAATGCGGACAGAGGCTTGAATGCGGATCCACCGATATTAACCTCCACTTGGCAAACATCAGGTGAGTCACTGAAACCATTTTATATCTTTACTGTGGAAAGCCTCCAGCCCAGGAGGCTCCTTTGGAAGCCTTCTCTGGTGCCAAGGCACCCAGGAGCAGCATTAACTAGCGGGTATCTCATTACCAACTTCTTGCTTATTAACCTGATTTCTCGCAAAGAACAGGGGAAGAAGAATCTGCGCAGGTTGGTAAAAGTTGAAAAGAGGCAACACCGATAAAACAAATTGACATTGGACAACATTCACTGTTATTCTGGAGAGAATATCTCAGGCTTTGCAGACGGATCGAAAATTTTCTGTTTCTGCTCCTGCCCTGTCCGGCTCTTGGAGCTTAGGTCAAGACCACAGACTTTTCTTGGGTTTCTCTGCTATGGCCTTTATGAATTTGTTTCTACCCAGCTACTAGAACTTTTATCAGCTGATAGGAAAAAAAAAAAAAGACAAAACCAAAAAACCCCACCCACCACCCAACCAAACAAAAACCCCGAAACCCAAATAACTCTCTGGGCAATGGGAACTTGAAGGGGAAATAAAGTTTATTGGGATTTTGAAAAAGGCTTGCGTATCATGCCATGCAAACTACAGTACGCATCTGGGTCTGAATCTTTGTTTGGCACGTTTAACGTTCAGCAGGATAACAGTTGCTTCCACCCTGATTTGTCCTCGAGTGATCTGTGAAAACGTCACCCTCACCAACACGATTTTAAAGTTTCTTATACGGAGATTCAGCGTTCAAATGATGAGATATAGCATATCTCTACCTCGACAAATATGTTTTAACTTGTCCTCTAAATGCGTTTTTTGTTATCCCTTTCTTTGTTCTTTCCCTCCTCGTCCTTCTTTCTTTAAATCTGGCAACAGAATTAAGTCAAATCCTCGAAACAAACAAACCTCTGGAATCAGCCGACGAGAACAAGGGACAAAAATGTGTCTTGAAGGAAATAAAATAGATAAAAGCACCGGATTTAAACCCGCTTTCTCAAATGGTCAAACTACACCCATGGAAATTGGAACAAATCCCAGTGGAGATTCTCGGAGATATTAAAATTGCGGTCTTCATGTATGCACCCATCCCTCTTTCACTAATGGAAGCGGTCTATACGTCTGAAAATCGAGACCTTTCTGTGGCGGCTTGTTCCTTTTGGGACATGAGGGTCGCTGGGACCCCTGCACCCGCATGCGGCGAGGCTGTGAGGGGTGCAGGGGTCCCAGGGCCCCGGCTGGTGACACCCCCCCGCCGAGTGACCTCGGGGCAGCTGCTGCCCCCCCCTTCCCAAAAGCCCAACCCCGCGGGAGCAACACCCGCCGGGACGCCGAGCGGCCCACGCAAGGGCTCACTCCGTACCCTGGGGGGAAAAAAAAAATAAAAAAGAGAAAAAAAAAAGAGCAAAGCACGAAGCCGGCCACGCTCCTCGGATGCTGCTACAAAACGGCGGGAGGCGTTTCGCCGGGCGGAGCAGACGTGGCGGCCGGCGAAAGCCGCTGTCCCCGGCGGCCGGCCCCTCGGGACGCCCCCGCCGGGATGCTCGGCGGCCGGGCCGGGCCCGGAGGGGAGCGCAGGCCCCGGGGGTTGTGCAAAGTCGCAGCGCCTCCTGTTGTCCGGCTGCGGCTCGGGCTCCGCTGCCTCTTCCTGAGGCTGCTCCCAGAGGTGAGGGCACAGACGGGCTCCTGGCTGCAATCTCAGATTTGCTGTACTAATCAGCAAGCCCGAGGCAGAGTCAGCCGCTGCTGAGGCTTCCCTTCGGCCGTGGTTGCCGTGTTGCAGCCCTGGTGGTGGAGAAAAGCCTTCCTTGTGTGAAGAAGAGGGTCCTGATGGCTCTGTCCACAGCCACAGGAAAAAGGTGTTTCTGTAGTTGCCCTTGCCCCGCACCACTCGAGCCTCTCTGCGAGACCCTGTGTGGGATCCTCCGAGAGTCCAGCGCGATTTGTCCGTACCCTTGGCAGCTGGAAGTGCAGGATTGTTTTAGGATGGAGGACGCATGGTAGCAGCCAGGAGCTCTCCAGGCGCGCTTTGCTGCTTTTGGGTTTTCTTGACTTCAGGGCGATAGCCCCGGCCCGATTTAGACTGAGCTTTTCCCCAGCTCTCCTTAGAGTAGTCCCAGTTTCTGATCAAGCTGTGCACACTGGCTTTTTTTTCTTTTTTTTTTTTTT